AACCATTCTCATTAACACATACTTCCTACCTTCTAACTCAATCACATCACAATATTCAACAAAATAAACAGCTAATCACACATATTGAGATAGGGTAGAGTCCCCTGTTATCTTGGATTGAAGACCCACACTCAAATTCAACTACTGAAGTGCTCTCTACACAAATTTCGGCCTAACTGCATGGAAGAACTCGATGAGAATCCAAGGAAACCGAGAAATAAAGAAAAAGGATGAAAAACAAAAACCCTAACCATTAAAACTCACCTCCAAGCATTTCCCACACGAATTCAACCTTCAATTTAGCTCTCAAACAGCTTTGGAGGTAATTTAATTGGTAGAATAAGATTTTTGGTTGAGAGAATCGAAGAGATTTGGAAGAGAAATAGAGAAATGAAATCTCAATCCCTAAACCCCTTTTTAAAACCCCTTTGGTCTCGCTACAACAACGCCTCTTGTCACTACAACAAAAATCTCATAGAAATTGCACCCTAGTTTCTGCAGAATCTCGCTACAGCAAGACTGCACCCAGAAATGCACACCAAACTGTGGCTTTGTCGCTATAGCGACAAGGCGACAATTTTACACCTTTCTCCCAGGGCTCTCTCGCTACAATGAGAACACTCTGTACCAGAACACTTAGCCAAAAATTCAGCCCAATCCTAATCATCCTATCATCTACAATTTTAAATACACTACACAGAAAAGTCAACGTAAATACTTAATTAATAATCAACTATATTACAAAATTTGGGACGTTACAACTCTCTCCTCCTTTAGGAAATTTCGTCCCCAAAATTCAAACCAATATACACAGATCACACAAACAATTTCGGGTACAACTCTCTCATTCTACTCTCTGTTTCTTATGTGGCATCTCCCTTATCACTTGAGCTCTATGTCACCTTCACCAATGAGATCTCCTTGCCCCTCAACTGTTTCACGTAGTGATCTGCTGTCCTTACCAGATACGCCTCATAAGATAAGTTTTCTCTTACTTGAATCGGGTCAAGATCGATCACTTATGGGAAGGATCCGACACATATTGCCTGAGTTGTGACACATGGAATACCGGATGTAAGTTCGAGAGGTTCAGAGGCAACGCTATCCGATATGATGCAGAGCCAATTCTATCTAGCACTTCGAATGATCCAATGAACTTAGGAGATAGCTTCCGAGATTTCAAAGTCCTCCCAACTCCAGTCACAGGTGAGACCTTCAGAAACACATGGTCACCCACCTGGAATTCCAAAGGCTTCCTCCTCTTATCATAGTAGCTCTTTTGCCTATCCTGTGTTGCCTTCATCTTCTCTTTGATCATCTTGATTTGTTCCTTTTGTCTTTGAATCATATCCGGTGCACACAGAGTTGCCTCTCCATCCTCATACCAACACAAAGGAGTCCTAAAGCTCTGCCCATATAAGGCCTCAAATGGTTCCATCCCAATACTAGCATGATAGTTGTTATTGTAAGTGAACTCTACCAATGGCAGGCATTCCTCCCAAGTCCCCTGCTGTTTGAGCACATAAGCCCTCAGTAAGTCCTCGAGGGACTGGATAGTTCGTTCGGTCTGACCGTCAGTCTGTGGGTGATAAGCCGAGCTCAATCTCAGCTTAGCCCCTAACACCCGTTGCAGGCTTTCTCAAAACCTTGAGGTAAACCTTATATCTCTATCTGACACCACATTGGTTAGCACCCTATGCAGGCTGACTATCTCCCTCACATAAAATTTCGCAAGTCTCTCTAATTTATATTTCATGTTGATCGGGAGAAAGTGCGCAGCCTTAGTTAACCGATCCACTACCACCCAGATGACATCATGGTTGTTCCTGGTCCTCGGTAACCTAGAAACAAAGTCCATGGAAATACTATCTCATTTCCACTCATGGATATCCAATGGCTGTAACAACCTTGGTAGACGCTGATGCTCTGCCTTCACCTTCTGGCAGGGTAGGCGTCTAACCACATATTCAGCCACATTCCTCTTCATTCCATTCCACCAAAAACTCTTCCAAAGGTTCTAATACATTTTGGTTGCACCGGGGGTGAAAACTCGTTCTGCTCTTATGTGCTTCCTCAAGCATCATTCGCCTCAACTCATCCACTTGGAGAATGCATACCTGATTCTGAAACTTAATTACCCCATTCTCATCATAGTGGAACTTCAATTCCTTTCTCTCACCTTTCTGTCTTATCATGTCTTGCAGAAAGACATCTCCCTGCTGGATATCTCGGACATACATAAAAAAGTCATTGTGAATCGTAGTAGCTCCAAGATACAAACTCCCCGGCCTCACCTCCATGGCCAAATTCATGTCTCTGAATTCCTTAATCAACTCCATTTCCTTCACCATCATTGCTGCCACGTGCAATGATTTTTGGCTCAGCGCATCCGCTACCACATTTGCCTTGCCAGGATGGTAAGACAATGTGAAGTCGTAGTCCTTGAGAAACTCCATCCATCTCTTCTGCCGTATATTCAACTCCCTTTGATCAAACAGATACTTCAAACTCTTGTGGTCACTGAACACTTCAAACCTCGCGCCATACAGGTAGTGTCTCCATACCTTAAGAGCAAAAATCACCGCGGATAACTCCAGATCATGCGTCGGATAGTTGACTTCATGCGGGCGTAACTATCTTGAGACATAGGCAACCACTCGCCCATCTTGCATCAAAACACACCTCAGTCCATGCCCGGATGCATCACAATACACGTCAAACTCTCGCTCGGGTAAGGTAGAGCCAACACTGGTGCCGAAGTCAACCTTATTTTCAGCTCCAGGAAACTAGTGATCAATTGGAATTTTTACAATCTTATTTCCTCTCATTACTACCTCATTAATCCTTTTTTGTGCCTAATTGGTTTGAATTGGATCATTTTATGATGTTTGAATTTTATTTGGGCTTTATTTAATTTTTCCAGCATTAGGTAAATTTTGATACTATTTTGGTTTCTGGACCATATCTTGAGTTGTAGAGCTCATTTCATTATAATTCTTGATTTATAGGAAAACTGAGAGAAAGGCGCACAATTCCTATGAGAGGTCAAAAACTAATTCTGATGATAAGAAGCTGAAACTGGGCCTAGAAAAAGTCAGAAATGTGCATTCGTGGTTTCTGACCTTGGTGCAGTATTTGGACCATATCTCAGTCCACAGATGTCTGTTTAAGCGCATTCTAGTTGTATTTTGAAGCTAACATCCAGGGCTACAATTTGTCTTCATATAAGAAATCAAAATGGACAGATCTTCATGGTCAAAAATACCACAGAAGATCTTCTCAAATTCAGCATGGATACTGAGCAGCAATTACAAGCATAACTTTCCCTCCAAAATTCAACTTGAACAAATAAGAATTCCATATACAGCTATTAAGTAGAGGATTAATGTAATTGAATAATGATTAATTAGTTTTTTATGTTTTGACCCTTGAAATGCCTGTATTTAAATTAGGGCAGCAGGTTGAAAAAGGGTTGTTTGTTTTTCTTTAGGAAAATACAAGTTTTAGGGTTTTTGTCTCTTCCTCTTTGCCTCTTCTCTTCTCTCACGTTTTTACCTTTCATTTTCCTCCATTAATGGAGGCTTAGACTTCCATCTAATCCAAGGATTGAAAAAGGGCTACAACATTCTTGAGGATTGGTTTCGTAATTCATTCAACAACAAATCTGGTTTCATCTCTTCCTTCTTTCCCTTTTGCTATAATTATGATTTCGAATTGAAGTTATTCGTTTGGATTTATAATTGTGCAGCTGTTTGATTGCATATTATTCGGTTGATGTATGTAATTAATTTTTGAAGGAAAGTGAATTAGATTTTCAGGTTTGAGATCTAAGATTAATAGCATTGGTGAATTAAATTAATACAAATCGATTAGGTTCTAGAGGTTTCTGAACTTTGAGCGATTATGTGTTAATCGAATGCATGAAGGCTTTCATGTGAATGCTTAATTTGAATTGAGGTTTCATTTGAATTTAATATTAATCACTAATTTGTTGGCTGATGCATCTTCTTGGAATCCAGTGATAGAATGACCATAGTTCTTCTAAATTCTTGAATTAGAGTTTTAAATTCTTGTTAACTTGGTATTCTAATCAGTGTTATTTTATAAATCAAATTCCATCCAAATTCATAATCGTATAATATTATCATCATTGGGAGACGACTCGAATTGCACCTCTTACTACATAATTTTTATGCAATTCAGTTTTTAATAATTTGTCCGAGCACAACACTCGCGATCACTAGCTTCACACCCTTTGGTCCACTTAAACTCCCTTCCCTTGTGGGTCAGCTTCGTTAAGGGCAAAATTATCTTAGAAAATCCTTCAATGAACTTCCAGTAATAGCTTGCCAGTCCCAGAAAACTGCGGAACTCAATCACATTTGTCGGTCTCAGCCACTCAGCCACTGCTTCCACTTTTGCAAGGTCTACCATGATTCCTTCCTTCGAAACTACGTGTCTCAGAAACTGAATCTCTGACATCTAGAACTCACATTTGGAGAATTTCGCATGCAGTTGCCTCTTCCTCATAATTTGCAGAAAATCCTCAAGTGTTCGATATGCTATTCTTGAGTCTTCGAATAAATCAGGATGTCGTCGATGAATACCACCACAAACTTATCCAAAAACTCATGGAAGATTCTGTTCATATAATCCATGAACACCGCAGGCGCATTGGTCACTCCAAACGGCATCACCAAGTACTTATAGTGACCATACCGCATCCTAAACTCCATCTTAGGTACATCTACATCCTTCACCCTGATTTGATGGTATCCTGACCTCAGGTCAATCTTAGAAAACACAGCAGCTCCTCTCAACTGGTCCATCAAATCGTCAATCCTTAGAAGCAGATACTTGTTCTTAACCATCACCTTATTCAGCTGTCGATAATCCACACACATCCTCATACTCCCATCCTTCTTCTTCACTAAGAGCACTGGTGCTCCCCATCGCGACACACTCGGTCTCACAAACCAATTCTACAATAGATCCTTTGCTTACTTCTTGACCTCTACCAACTCCACCAGTGACATCCTATATGGTGCCACAAAAATCGGGTTTGCCCTCGGAATGAGGTCAATAGTAAACTTTATTTCTTTCTCAGGTGGTAACTCAGAAACATCTTCGGGGGAAACTTTCAAGAAATCCCTCACCACCGGAATATACTCCGGCTCCACCATGCTTTTGGCCTTCATTGAGAACATAACCATAAAGGCCTTGGCGTTTACCGTGTTCTCCCACGCACCTTGGCTCATAAGCCGCGGAACCTCTGTTAATGCCGTATCGAAGATCAAAGTTTTCTCCCTATAATCCAGTAGCATATGGTTGGCAGTAAGCCAATCTATCCCCAGAATTATATCCAATTGAGAAAGAGATAAACAAATCAAGTCTACCTCAAACTCCCTACCATGTACCATTATTGAACACCCCAGACATACCCATGACGTCACAACTGGCTTACCCATAGGGGTAGTCACCACAACATTACACGGTAGTTTAGTTATATACAAATTCAAACTCTTCACACAGTCCACAGACACAAAACAATGCGTAGCACCCGAGTTGAACATCACATCAAGCAATTTTCCTTGAATTACACATTTACTTTGGATCAGCTCCTCTGACTATGAAGCCTTTGCCCCACTCACAGCAAAGACTCTACCAGGAATGCTCAGCTTCTACCCCGTACTCGGCTCCGTGTTCCCCCTTGATTTAGGCCTCTGTGCAGTGCTAGTACTGCCACCCCTCTTGGCAGTCCAGCACACATTAGCAGTGTGCCTTGACTTCCCACAGTTACTGCACGTAATTCGCGGCTGTGGGCAATCATTCACCATGTGTGGCCGCCACACCTGAAACATTTGATCGGTCCTCTGAAATAACCCAATCCTGAGCCACTCCCACTGCTCTTCTCTTGAGTTGAACTTCCCCTTGACTGTGAATTGCTCGAGCCCGAATATGGCCCCTTGGAAAATCTAGGGGGTCTCCTATCTTGTCTCATTGGGCCAGCTCCCCTAGTGTCCACTGTCTTCTCCCTTGAGTTAGCTTCGAAGATTCTGCTCTTGCTTACCAAAGTGGGTAAGTTCGTCAGTTGGAACATACTGACTGCAGCTCAGATGTCTGGCCTCAATCCATGCTCAAATTGAGCACACAGATCTTCCTCTCCATCCCCATGCTAATAGTGAGGCTAGTACTTCATCAACTCTTGGAACTTAACTGCATACTCCCTCACGGTCATACTTCCTTGTTTAAGCTCAAGGAACTTTTTGGCTTTCTGCTTTTTCAAATCCCAGGGAAAGTAATTCCCTAGGAAAATCGCTTTGAAGGTCTCCCACTAGATGTAGCTACCCTCTTGTGACAATGTTTAACCGACAAACCTCCACCAGTCTTCCGCTTCTTCACACAGCAAGTAAGTGGCATAAGCGACCTTGTGCTCATAACGGCACCCCATGACATTGAAGACCTTCTCTACATCCGCCACCCACCTCTGGGCTCCCTCAGGGTTAAACACTCCTTCAAACTTTGGGGATCGTGCCTAGTAAAGGCAGACAACCCTTGATACTCAGCCGGCTCTCTGCCTTGATTGTGCACCAAGGCCTCCAGAATTTGAGCTATGCGCTCCATGGGATCATTGGTGCCTCTAGTTCCTCTACCTCTATCAGCCATGTTTAATCTTGGCTAATCACAATTCAGCAAACCACATTCCAGCATATTAGATCAATTTGTACATTTATAATTCAGGCAAGCAAAACAATCAACACTTAGCTTGGATGCTTCAGCCTGATACCCCAGTCCAGTTTGGATGAACTGCTCTGATACTAAAATTGTAACACCTTAATTTTTACTTTCCAAAATAACAATAGATTTTGCAAAATAGGGAGAATAAACTTTTTCATTTAAATAAAATCCTCATTAAATATTTGAGATTATGGAAAGGATTACAAGTTCATATCAAATAACTACTATAGGACCTATTCAAATACAACAGTTTCAAAATAATATTCTAGGTTCTATAGCAGTTCTATCCACCCCTTCACTAAGATTGGTGGTGATCATCTTGATTACCTGAAAAATGGATGTAAGGGTGAGTACTCTACGTTACTTGTTACACAAACAAACATAGAGTCTCACATTGCACCTATTTTACATCATTTCTAAAACAATTCATAAAATATATTCACACGCAGCAATACTACTCCATTCAATTTAATTCAAACACCGATGCACTCATGGCATCAAACAGTTTACACACACAAAATTAACAAACAATAATCCCATGCACTCACTGCACGCCAGCCACGCTCACAGTGGCACTGTGATCATAGATTTTTACTATGGATGGTCACTGGTTACCCCGCCTCACGGATATCACGTGGGCAGTCACAAATCGCTCAGCAAAGGTAGTGGTCAGAGGTCTAGTCAAGAAAAGAGTGTGTGGCCCGTGGTGTACCCGCTCCCACTGTCGGTATCACCACCACTCCTTCTTTCCTAAGGTATTTCTACCGTCCTTATCTTTCATACCCCCAGTGTATCGCTAAGCCATTCACAGCACGTTACACCAGTGTTAATCACGTCACATTTACACACATTGCAATATTCATTCTCAGTATACGGCATAAAGCCCACAGTCATGCATAATACACGGCACTAGGCCCTCATTCGTTTTACAGTACACGGCATAAAGCCTATATTCATTCATATTACATGGCCCTTGGGCCCACACTTGTTCACAATATTCATTCAAATATACGGCACAAGTGCCCATACCCATTCACAATGGTTGACATATATGCCCTAATTTTATTACACGACATTTATTATATAATCCACATTCATCAGTTTTTGGTAAACACACATTCTTTCATCTATGCACATAATATTCACATCTCATGGCACATGGCCCACATTATATTTCACAACCATTCCCATTAACACATATTTCCTACCTTCAGCGAAATAAACGACTAATCATACATATTGAGATAGGGTAGAGTCTCCTTTCACCTTAGATTAAAAACCCACACTCGAATTCAACCACAGAAGTGCTCTCTATATGAATTTCAGCCTAAATGCATGGAAGAACTCCATGAGAATCCAAGGAAACTGATAAACAAAGAAATGGGATGAAAAACTTAAACCCTAACCATTAAAACTCACCTCCAAGCGTTCCCCACACGGATTCAACCTTCAATCTAGCTCTTGAACGGCTTTGGAGGCAATTTAATCGGTAGAATAAGGTTTTGGGTTTAGAGAATCAAAGAGATTTGGAAGGGAAATAGGGAAATGAAATCCCAATCCCTAAACCCCTTTTTAATACCCCTCTGGTCGCGACACTCTTGCTACAGCAACACACTCTCGCTGCAGTGAGGCATCTCTCGCTGCAGCGATGCCTCTTGTTGCTACAGCGAAAATCTCAGACGAAATTGCTGATGGAACGATTTTTCACCACTCGTTATGCACAAATATTGTCGTTAATCCTCATCAAATATGCAAGATATAAATGCAATACTAAGGTGTTGTCCTAGGTTATCTCCAAGGAACTTTTGGTTGGGAACATACATCGAACAAGTGTAAACACATTTTTTAAAGCAAGTAAATTGGGGGGAGGTTTGTCAATTTCTAGATTTTAATCAAGAACAGAATGTAAACTAATGAAATTCAATCAATTAAAAAGAGTAATCCCTAGTCAAACAATGAGTTCTATCCCTATTCTTTCAAATGATTCAATAATCCTCTATTTTTCCCTTGAATTAAGTTAATTTAACAAGCAAAAATTAACTTTAGTATCCCAATTAAAATTAAGCATCTTAATGGGCTCCAATTCTCTATCCCTAAGATTAAGCAATCTCAAAGATTAATCAAAATTAAGCAATTTTAGATTAGAATTTCGTTGGGTAATTTAGGGTTCATTAAGCAATGTTCCCCTCATGCAAATTTCATTTCATTCAGAGATTAGGGTTAATAAATCCAAGGAAAGAAAGAGTGATATTGCCATTAAACTCAAGAATTCAAGAACCATATGAGTTGACTAGGAATTACAAGAGAATTTAGCCCTCCATATGGATGTGCTTCACAAATGAAAGAAGAGAATGTAGAAACGTAAGCAACATCAATGTAAAATCAAGGAGAATCAAAGGGAAATTGGAAATTAAAACCTATAATGGATCCTTGGCTGTCACCCAAGAATCCTAAGCTCTGCAAAATGCTCCAAAAGTGGTAAAAGAATCTAAGGAAAATGAATCCCTATACCCTAATTTCTAAAAGTCTATATATACTAAGTCTGACATGGCCCCATAGTGATCACTCTGTAAAACAAAAGAGTAAACACGCGCATGGCACTTCCTTCTGGGCGTCTCTGGAGTGATTACTCCCATTTCTGAGAGTGTTTACGCGCATGACACTTAGGGTCTGGGGCTTCTGGAGTGATCACTCTGATATCTGAAAGTGGTTACTCTGGCCTATCCCTTGAAACCAGCTCCATGGAGTGATTACTCTGGTATCTGATAGTAGTTACTTTGAGTTCATATTTTTTTCAAAGAGCCAAAAATTCATGAAATTTGTATAGAATTTCCTGCACAATTATTCAAATGATCAAAATTGCAAAATATATTCACAAAAATTAATGGAATTAAGACAAAAATTAAGAAAGCCATTGTTTTCTACCTAAATAAGATTTTAATGTTATTTACAGCCTCTAAATCTATTTTTTTCTATTAAAACTTTGTAAAAACCAAACAAAATATCTGTAAAGTGTGGATTCATCACAATCCCAAACTTAGACTTTTGCTTGTCCTCAAGCAAACTAAAACTCAAGAAAATTGAAGGTAAAGGGTTGGATTTATCCAAAAATTTTCTCAAAGATTTCCATTCCAATCTTAGACTCCAATTAGCACTTCCAATATTTTCAAAATTATGGATTCATTCAACAAAACAATCACACTCATATCATCTATTTTCATGCAAAATCCCACTAAACCGAAACAAAAGTCCAGCAAGGTTTCATGCAGTCCACACAATGCAAAGAAATCATCCAGCTCACAGTATAGTGTTTCACTCTCACTCATTAATATTGTAGGCTCAGTGTTTCTCTCAATTCATGCATTTTGCCTCACCCTACCATATGCTTGCCCATATTCTCAATCTCCTTTGCCTAGATACAATGAACCACCTATCATAAGGGCTTTGTTGGTCACAAATGTGGTTAGGTTAGGTTCAATTTTTTATCAAGGAATGGCAAAAGCTCAAGTGGGTTTTTAAGAAAGGAAAATTCTTTTGAGTGAATGAGCACAATAACTAGAATGGAATACACTAAAGGATGCAATTTATGAGGTTTAGGCATTCTTTCATCATTTTATTTTTTTATTTTATTTTGCCTTATGTGGAACTTCTTTTTCTATCAAAAAGACTTGCTGTATTTTTCTTTTTCTTTTCCTTTTTCCTCCATTCCTTCATTTTATTATTATTATTTTTTTATTTTTTTTGATTCGTTGGACTTTGGCAATCATTCTTTTCATTCATTTTTTTTTTGACATGTAATATGGACATGTATAATGCTCACCACCCCAAACTTAAGATCTTGCTTGTCCTCAAGCAACTATAGTCAAAATTAGCACCCCAAACTTGGTTTCTTGCAATCATTCTTGACGCAACTCAAAAGAAATATCTCTCTTAAGGGAAGGAAACTATGTTGGCAGGCTAAGTTTAGCAAAAGAAGGGAGTGTAGAACAAAGAAAATTTGGTGGGGGGTGTTCTGGGGTGGATATGTGCAAAGAAGGCCTCAATCATCTAGATGAAAAATTATACAATGCATATTCAATTAAGAAACAGGGCAAGTTCTAGAAGATGAATGCAAAAGTACATGTAATGTGCACACAAAAAAGAATTTTAAGGCCCAATTCTCTACCATGGTAAAAGAGATAATTTCTTAGCAACATGTGAATACAGTTCACCTTACAGGAAACTATGTTCAGTGTGGTAAGAACGATAATTGTTGACAAAATAGAGAATGATTGAGTTGAATAGGAAGTGCGATCAGAATATAAAATTAGAATTAGAAAACTAAATTTCATCAAAAATAAAAAGTAAAGAAACAAAGAGGTTGTTTTTGTATTTTATCTATGAACTATGCAGGAAAAACAGACTAAACAATGCGAAACAGAGGCAAAGAGATCACCCCCCCTTTCAGAGTCACACTCAGAGATCAATTTCATGCTCCTCTTGATGTTACTGAGGGCATTCTCTACACAAAGACGCACAAAGGATTCAGCACAGAGTATAAGAATAGAATTTAAACTACAAATAGTATATATATAAAAGCGTCAAAGAGTGTTCAAGGGGTGATGCATGAAAACAAAGGGGAAAATAGTACTAAAGATGATAATTACAATGAAAGGAGTATTTACTAAATACAGGGAAATAAACTAGAAATTGTAGAAATATAAATGACAGAAAGAAAAGCAAAGCTATATAAGATCTTCATTTGAGCTGGAGGATGAAAGATTGTCATCATTCTCATCATCATCCTCTTCCTCCTCTGAAGAACTGGAGCTGTTATCCTTCTCAGTTGCAGGTGCATGGGTGGTGGTGAATGGAGGTAAATCCTGGTTAACTGCTGCTCTAAGGAAAGGGGCAGTGAAGGTAGGGGCGTCATAAATCTGGCTCTAGGG